ACCATGAATTATGGGAGATTTATGAATAACATTCTATAACAGTTAAGTAAATTACAAATACATTATCTAAAAGTTATGGATGAATTGTACACGAGCCTTACACAATGATCAAGACACTACGTAAATTTTATGGAGATATATTTATTTTTTATGTAGACATATCACATATGACGTATGTCTTTTTCAATGGTTAAGACAATGCCTAAAATTTATTTGCGTACCTTTCTGCAATAATTTAATAATTATATGATTATAATAAAATTATTAAATAAGTAGATGAATTATAAATATAATTAGTTTCTTACCGCCGTGAAGCGTGGGCCAAAAAACTAGTATTTTTTATTGGGCTAAACGTGGCATGACAAATTCTGCTAGGAGGATCCGAGAATTACATGCAGAATCTCAAAGGGCCAGGGATGTCACGCCGGTGGATTGGCTGCGTCCTGGGCTGCTAAGGAGATGTATTGGAGGCAACGTTCAAGAGTTAGCTGGTTAATGGAGGGAGAGGAATTCTAACTATTTCCACACTGTTACTCGTGCTCGAAGGTGTCAGAATATGATCGAAGGACTGTTTAATCAAGCTTGGCAGTGGGTATCCGATGAGGATGGTAAGCAATAGGTTTTGGTTGACTATTACAAGAATATATTTTTGAGTGGAAGGTTGGATGATGGTTTTCCGTAAGAGTTGAACATAGGGTACACACTTTGCCCATTGCTCGCCTGGTCTTAAGGGAAATGAATGACAGGCTCACAGCTCCAGTTACTCCATCGAAGATTAAAGATACGATTTTTCACATGGAAGCCTTTAAAACGCCAGGTTTGGATGGGTTCACGGGTTGCGTCTTTCGATCCTTTTGGCATATAGTTGGTAAAGTGCCATCAAGGCAATCTCCTACTTCTTTACTTCGGGTAAGCTTCTTATGAATTTTAACCATACTTGGTTAACTTTAATCCCAAAGGTGGATTTGGTGGATCAAGTGTCACAATTGCGACCTATTAGCTTATGTCAGTTGCTCTACAAAGTGATCACCAAAATTATGACGAGTCGTTTGGGTACGATTTTTCCAAACTTGGTCTCTCCAGAGCAGAATGGCTTTGTTAAGGAATGACGGATTGTTGACAATGTCCTCATCGCGCATGAGTTGATGCATTATGTTCATCATAAAAAACAAGGTCGAGCAAGGTTCATGGCTCTCAAACTAGATATGGAGAAGGCATACGATTGTATTGAGTGGCCTTTTCTCTTCTCCATACTCCGGAAATTGGGTTTTGCTCCAGAATGGGTACATTGGGTGAAAGAATGTGTTTGCGCCGCCTCTTTTTTTTTAATCCTGGTCAATGGTAAGCCTTCCGGTTTCTTCTCCTCTTATTCGAGGACTTCGCCAAGGGGATCTTTTGTCTCCTTTGATGTTTGCGTTGTGTCCGAAGGGTTTACTGCCATGATTAAAGAAATGTTTGACAGCCATGAGCTGCAGAAATGTTGTGTTCATGTCCCTTGGTTTCTCATATTCTTTTTGCATATGATTCTTTTTTATTTCTTCGAGCTTTTCGCCGGGACGTGCAAAATCTATGAAGCCTTTTACATGAGTACGAGGATATCAGTGGCCAACGAGTGAACTTGACCAAATCGGTTGCCTTTTTTAGTCCGAACATGGATGCTCATGAGCAAAATTCTATGGGGGCTTCTTTGGGAGTGGGATCAATTGGATTGTTAGACAGGTATTTGGGGCTTCCCTCTCTGATTCATCAGTCGAAGAAGGAGACATTCCAATTCATTGAAGAAAAGTTTATGTCGGTTTTACAAGGTTGGAAGCTTTGTACATTATCCATAGCTGCTCGAGAAGTACTATTGAAGGCTGTGGCGGCAACACTTCCAATTTATGCTATGTCCTACTTTATGCTCCCATTGGATTTGATTCCTCGGTTGAATCCCCATATGGCTCGTTGTTTGTGGGGAGAAACTGCATGTCAAAAAAGAATCCATTGGATTGCTTGGAAGACTCTCTGTGCCAACAAGTTTCATGAGTTTGGTTGTTTCAACCAAGCTTTGCTAGCCAAAGTTTCCTAGCGAATTCTTATGGAACTCTCCAAGCTTTTAGCGCGAATTTCAAAGGTTAAGTATTTCTCACAGAACAATTTTATGGAAGCACAACCTGGTGCCAATCCGTCTTGGGGTTGGAAAAGCATTCTTCATGGCCGCGCTTTGATTTTGTCCGGTTTGCGCTGGAATATCGGCAGCGGTCTTTCTATCCAAGTGTTCTAAGATGCTTGGCTTCCTACTAGTTCGCCATTAGCACCCATTCCGCACGCTGGTGCTCCACATTCATCCTCTTTTGTATCGGCCCTGATTGACCATGATCTCACTCTTGGAACATGCCGGCTCTACAGCTATTCTTTGATCCATCAAACATTAAGACCATTACTTCTATTTTGCTGCCTCATCTTTCTGTTCTTGATTCCTTGATCTGGCATTACGATCCTTCAGATGTGTTCCAGGTAAAGTCTGCTTATCACCTTGCTTTTTATATTTCCCGAAGGATGAGAGGTCTTTCACGCGCTAATCAGGTAGACATTGGGATTTGACGCTGGTTATGGAGTTTGAATTTACCCCCAAAACTAATATTTTTCATGTGGCAATGTCTTAATCGTGTCCTTCCGACAAGAGAAGCCTTTGCTCTTCAAGGGCTTGACATTCTATCAATATGTCCGGTTTGAGGCAGGAAGGTTGAATCTTTAGAACATTTGTTCTTCAATTGCTCTTTTGCTCGTCGGTTGTGGGGGCTGGTTGGATTTCACCAACAGTTGAATTCTTGAGATAAAAGGTCTTTTGCGGGTATGGTCCGAGTTCTGGCATATTTGGAAGAATAGGTGTTTTGCTCTCTTTGACCATCTTCAGGTGCGAGTTGAGACCATGACGGCGGAGTGGTATCACCAAGTTTGGGAGTTTGACACAGTTGTATTGTCTGCACCGGTTGCAAGGCAACAACAAATTCATCCTCTTATACCTCCAAGAACTGTGGATTCTATTTCAATTGATCAGTTTCAAGCTTCTTTTTGATGGGGCAGTGCAGACAGACTGATGCGGATCAACGGCGTATGTGATTGCAGATGGACGACTCTATCCTCTATTGGCGGCAACTTCAGTTTATCAGGGGATCAATGATCCTGTTGTTATTGGAAACCTTGGCATTAAGAGATTACTTACAGGCTTGTCGGGCTCGTGCTTTGACTAATGTGTGCATAGTGGGTGACGCTAAAGTGCTCATTGACAAATGCTTAGCTCGGGATTTCAATGATGTTAAGGTTGGTTCAATTCTTTGGGAAATTGGTAGTTTGATGGATGTGCCTCAAAGGGATTTTGTCGTTAAGTTTGTTGGTCGTCAATGTAATAGGGTGGCTCATTTAGTGGCCAAGAAGTCTCTGAGTTTGTCGCGTCGGTTTCTAACGAGGTTTGACTATGTTTCATGCCATTGTTCCTTGTAAATTATCTTTTTAGGGATCTTATCTTTCCTCTCTTTTGAGAGTGATTGAATGACAAAGATAAATGATGGTTTAGTATACTTAGCATAATTCAGCAACAAGAGAAATCATTAAATTAATGTTTGAAAACAATGATGAAAAACACCATAAACTATAATACAAACCAAGTTATTACGACTAGGTCCAAAGTAAGAATAGTTAAGTTGTTTTAAAATTTTACATAACTCCTTACTAAAGGATACATATCTATAGGACATGTCTACCTTCAATGATCCTTGATGAAATGCTACTTGCATGTTATTACGATGTTTATGTTTGAAAAAAAGATAACATAATCAGTATGTTATTTTGGAAGGGGAAGAGGTGTATATGGCTTAAATATTTCTATTTTCATTTGATTTTTCAAGCCTTCCACTTGATGCGAACAACTGTGAAGTATCTTACAAAAGTCAGCTTGTGTTGGAAAAAGGCTCACAAGAGAGATGTTATTCAAACAACCAAAAATGTATTTTTATGATTGTCATAAGAATCGTTTCAAAGAAAATGTTATGCACACCTTAGACAACAAAGGTTGTCTGATTGTATAATAAGGCAATTAATTTGACTACAATCCATCCAAAATAAAATTTTTCTTATTTTAAAATTTTAAATTTATAATGTATATCATCTTTAAGTTGTCGCTGGGGCTTTTAATACTACTGGAGAAGTTAAGAAAAGTTACCGTGCCAAAATCATTGAGAAGATCCTCGTTATTTTGTACGTAGTGGTGGATTTTTTGTAGTTCTATCGGACTCCTTGAAATTGTATTGTGAAAGACATAAGTAAATTTACGACCTTTACATACCTCTCATGAAAATAGTGGTTTAGTTTACTTAGCATAATTCAACAACAAGATAAATAATTAAATTAGTGTTTGAAAACAATGATGAAAAACACTATAAAATATAATACTTACCCAAGTTATTGCGACTAGATCCAAAATAAGAATAGTTAAGTTGTTTTAAAATCTTACAGAACTCCTACAAAAAAAAAAATCTTACAGAACTCCTTACTTAGGGATACATCTATATAGGACACGTCTATCTTCAGTAATACCTAATCAAATGCTACTTGCATGTTATTACAATGTTTATGTTAGAAAATAAGATAATATAATCAGTAAGTTATTTAGGAAGAGGAGAGGAGTATGTGGCTTAAATGTTTCTATTTTTCAAATAAAAAATACTGAAAAAGCGTAGAATTTTGTATTTTTGTACTCTTTCATAATATAAAAAGTATTAAGAGCCTTCTAGAGTGAAAACAAAAAGGTTTTATTTTATTTTCCAAGCCTTCCACTTGATGCCCACAACTGTGATTAGGGATGGCAATTTACCCACCCATGGGTATTTTTGCCCAAACCCAATTATACCCATCTATATGGGTTGGGTATGGATTTATTTTATATGGGTTTGGATAGTATTTGGATAGGTAGAGTTGGGTTTGGATTTTGTTTTCAATTTGAAAATGGGTATGGGTTGAGTATGGGTACCCATCACTTTGGGCCTGCTTGTAAATGTTTTGTTTTTAGGTACTAAATTGTAAAACAAAATTTTGAAGGTATTAAAATATAATTTTCTGTACATGATGCTGGACCTGTTTATATCTCCTTATAAAATTCAGGTACTGAAAATGTAATTTGGGCTACATCGTATTCTAACTCTTCCTCTGCTGCTTCGACAATCGACGGCGGCGGTGCCCCTTTTTCAACTGACAAGCGACAACTTCAGTCACCCTACTGCCGCCGATGGGCTGTACTCCGATTGGTGGGTGGTGGGGATGTTACCCGGCGGCGTGGCTCCGACAGCCGTCCTTCTTCAAAAGTCGAACACGAATGTAGAGGAAGCGGAACAATCTCGTCTCATACGAGAGCATCAAGGAGGTGAATCTCTCGTTCGACGTCTGGGACCTCGTTGCCAAGTCTCTCAGCGGCGGGGCCACCGTGATTTTTGCCTTTGCGAAGCTCCCGGCGGGCACCGATCGAGTCAACCACTTTCGACAGGTCGGCGCGACGGTTACCTTGATGCTCCAGCGGCCGTCCTTCCTCAAAAGTCAGCTTCTTTGAAGAATCACAACAAATGGGTGAGACGTAGAGTGTACCAAGTTGTCAAAACTGGGAAAGCAACGCAAGTCAATGGCATCATACATCAATTGATGGAGGAAGGAATCAGGAAAGAGCAAACACATGGTACAAACTGTAGTATACTATCATGGGCAGCTAATGAAGACACAAGACACTGCAATATATGTGCTGTCATATTTTCAGACACTAGACACTCGAACTAAAAAGGATAGCCAGAAACAAATGCTGCAAAGGAAGCAAATGAGTATGGAAAGTTGATAATTACTCCAACCCAGGGAATACATTGAGCCCAAAAAATCATCTGTCATAGACATGACAGCAAAGCTGAATCATGAGCAAAGGTGTAGCAAAAAGGCAAGCCCAAAAAATGAGATACTCTGTACAAGTGCAACAGGGTGTAGTAAAGAGAGGAAAGTGGAGAAAATGAAGAGTATATAAGAATGCAATAACTTCATTACATAATCAACTGAAATGAGATATTCTGTTTTGGAATCCACTGAAATGAGATACTTTGTTTTGAACAATAACTTCATTACATAAACAAAGCATGTCAATATTAGTAAGAGGAAAATGCCACCTCCAATGAACACTCTAAATCAGTATAGTTAAAAGAACTATTATCTGAATAATTAAAACACTCTAAATTCATACAGCAGAAGCAACCAATAGAACCATTCAGTTATGATATAAACAGAGCAACAACAAGAAGACACACTAGGATGGTCTTGATTACTACCCTCGTGATTCATTGATAGACTATCATCATTCATTTCTGAAGCCATGTTTCCCTAGAAATACAAAGCAAACAACAAGCAATCATTCAAACATTCCCATTCAGATAGCATCAAAGAAAACATTTCTCAATCCTCCATCCCTGCTGTTCACAAACCCACAAAATGAAATTAAAAAGGGAAGTCTCGAGTATTCCACAATCACACAAAAACTCAGAAGGTGTAAGTGCCAAGGGTTACTAGACCCATTAGATTAGATGATCATAAGAACAGGACCTGGGTTTTGCAACCCAGAAAACAGGACTACTGGAAGACAAAAGGACAAGTAAAAAAGGGAAAGCTAGTGGAAAAGGAAAGGTATAAACAGAATCAAAATGAGTGCTTCCAAGCACAGACCTTGATTCTTTTGGCTTGCTGTAATTGCATTCATGGCTAGAAGAAACAGGTGATCAGACTTCTAGTAGATAGCTAGCTAGTGGGAATCACATTTTAACATTAAACTTTCATTCGAGCTAAAAATCAATCACAGATCAGACCCAATGCACAACTAAGACCCATTCAGAAACCCTATCCCCTAAACAGAGTTCTCATAATACCCAGTTCAAAAACTTAGGGTAAGATGAATAATACCTGGATCCTGGCGGAATGGGCTTCTCGTGGTCTCGAGATCGAAAGGGAGAGAATGAGTAGGTGATTCGCGAAGCTGTTGGCGATCTTGTGAGGGCGGGCGCTCAAACCCTCTTGCTCTCCGCAATCCGACCGATTGAAAAAGAGAAACAGGTGTCTTGAGATCGAGAGGGAGAGGAAGAGCCGGCGAATCGCGAAACCGTCGGCGATGTTGAGGGGGTGGGCGACGAGGCGAAGCGACCAGACGTCCAGACCCTCTTGCTCTCCTGAATCCGACTGATTGAAGAAGAGAAAACTTGGTTCTCGTGATAGAGAGGGATAGGAGGAGCTGGCGAGTCGTGAAGCCGTCGGCGGTGTTGAGGAAGCCGACGATGGGGCGAAGCGACCTGATCGTCTTGCTCCTCGGAATCCGATCGATCGGAGAAGTGGGAACGGAAAGCTGGCGTCACGAGATGGAGAGAGAGAGAGGAAGAGGTGGCCGTGGAGATGCTTTTTTTTTTCTTTTTAGTTTAATTACTTGGGTTTGGGTTTTTTAACCCAAATTCTTGGGTAAAACCCAACTGGACCCAACATTATGGGTATGGGTGTTGACCCATTAGATTTTACCCATTTGTATTTTACTTGGGTTGCATACCTGACCCACCTGGGTTGGATATTTAATACCCAATGGGCATGGGTAATTCTGCCATCCCTAACTGTGATGTATCTTACAAAAGTCAGCTTGTGTTGGAAGAAGTCTCACGAGAAAGAGGTCTTTCAAACTACAAAAACTGTGTTTGATGCTTGTTATATGAATCGTTTCCAAGAAGATGTTACGTATTGGGTTCTCTAATTGCATAATAAGATAATTAATCCGACTAAAATCCATCCATAATAAATTTTGTCTTATTCTAGAATTTTAAATTTATAATGTGTCTCATCTTGAAGCTGTCGACGAGGCTTTTAATACTACTGAAGAAGTTAAAAAAATTTATCGTGCCAAGATCATTGAGAAGATCCTCGTTATTCTGTACGTAATGGTGGATGTTCTTATATTTCCATCGGACTCCTTGAACTTGTATTATGAAAGTTATCAGTAAATTTACCACATCTACATACCTCTCATGAAAATGTTGGTCCAATATATTTAGTGTAATTCAATAACAGGATAATTCATTCAATTAATGTTTGAAAACAATGACGAAAAACCCCATAAACTACAATACTAACCATGTCATTTCGACTAGGTCCAAAGTAAGAATAATTAAATTGCTTTGCTTGCATTTATCATAATATTTAGGGAGGGGGGGGGGGGAGTATTTGGCTTAAATGTTTCTATTTTCATATGATTTTCCAAGCCTTCTACTTGATGCCAACAACTGTGAAGTATCTTACAAAAGTCAGCTTGTGTTGGAAGAAGTCTAACGAAAGAGAGGTCTTTCAAACTACAAAAAACTGTGTTTGATGCTTGTTATATGAACCATTTCAAAGAAGATATTATGTACGCCTTTGGGGGTTCTTTAATTGTATAATAAGATAATTAATCCGACTACAATCCATCCATAATAAATTTTGTCTCATTCTAAAATTTTAAATTTATAATGTGTATCATCTTGAAGCTGTCGACGGAGCTTTTAATACTGCTGGAGAAGTTAAGAAAAATTTATCGTGCCAAAATAATTGAGAATATCCTTGTTATTCTGTACGTAATGGTGGATGTTCTTATATTTCCATCGGACTCCTTGAAATTGTATTATGAAAGTTATCATTAAATTTACCATATCTACATACCTCTCATGAAAATGTTGGTTTAGTATACTTAAGTGTAATTCAACAACAGGATAAATTATTAAATTAATGTTTGAAAACAATGATGAAAAACACCATAAACTACAATACTAACCATGTCATTTCTACTAGGTCCAAAATCAGAATAGTTAACTTGTTTTGAAATTTTACAGAATTTCATACTGAGGGATGCATCTCTATAGAACACGTTTGCTTTCAATAATCCTTGATGAAATGCTACTTGCATGATATTACAATATTTATGTTAGAAAAGAAGATAATTTAATCAATAAGTTATTTAGTAAGGGGGAGTAGAATACGTGGCTTAAATGTTTCTATTTTCATTTGATTTTTGAAGCCTTTCACTTGATGGCCACACCTATGAAGTATCTTACAAAAGTGAGTCTGTGTTGGAAAAAGGCTCACGTGAGAGAGGTTTTTCAAATGACAAAAAATGTGTTTGATGCTTGTCATATGAATCGTTTCAAAGAAGATGTTATGCATGTCTTTGTGGTTCTCTGATTGCATAATAAGGTAATTAATCCGACTACAATTCATTCATAATAAATTTTGTCTATTTATTTACTAAAGTTTTAAATTTATATTGCGTAGCATTCAAAAGTTGTCGGAGCGGCTTTTGATACCACTATAAAAATTAATGAGTTCAAATGGTTGAAAGACTACAACCCTACCAGCTGAGATTATGATTTCAACCAGTTGAAAGATGATCCTACCAGACGAGATTATGAAGAACGCAACATGAAATTCAATGCAAGTTTGGTTGCAAAGGGTATGAAACCATGTACAGGTGGGAAGGTTTATCGAAAAATCAAGGTCCTGCCTTATTAGTTATTGTGTTTTGATCATTATATGATATGTTTTGATCTTACTCTATTATGATTTTGGAGCGCGTCTGGTTGGCTGGATTAAATACTAACTACTCAAAATCACAAACAATTTCTCTTTTGTTGGCAAATCTTGCCATGAGGTTTTATTTTTGTGTATAATTAAAAACAACTTCTCTTCCAATTTTACTCATTGTATCTAACTTCCCCTATTCTCTTGTATTGATTGACCCATCGTGGAATACCCTTACTTTTCAATATTTATGGAGACAAATAGAAAGAGAAGAGACCCAATGCTATACTGCGAGCGATGTAAACGAATGGTTGTAGTGGCTTCTAGTTGCCACTTGCCATCATTTTTTCTCTTTTTTTTAATTCTTTTACCAAATTTTTTTTATTTTCAAAAGACCACATATTTTCATACAATTTTTTTTTTCATTTTTGTTTATTTTAATCTTTCTCATTTTTTAGCCACATGAAAACATTTCATTGGCCCCTTTTTTATCATTTTATTTTTGTTGTGACGAAACCATCATCTTTGTTCGCATTTCGATTTTGTATCATCACTCATCTCTCTCCCTAAAACTTGAATAGAAAAATAATCGGGAAAATCTCACTCTAATTAAACAGAAAATTCTTGGAATTAGATTTAGTATTCATTAAGCGTGATTTTTCGTAATAATAATGAACTTCAAGGGGTATTCTTCCAATATGTCATATATTGCATCATTTTTCTTTTTGTTAATTCTTATAAAATTTGTGTTTTATTTACAAAAGACAACATATTTGCATACAATTTCCTTCTACCCTTTCTCATTTCTTCTTGGTTGCATGAAAACATTTTAGTGGTCATTTGTTATCATTTTATTTTTGTTGTTCTGAAACTGTCATCTTTGTTCGTATATGATTTTGTATTGTTACTCATCTCTATCACTCAAGCTCAAATAGGAAAAACACGGGGAAATCTCTCACTATGATCAAAGAGAATGGAAGGCGCATAGTAATCAAAGAAAGTAGATGTTACGTTCTTCCGCCTTTTTTTTCCTTTTTCGTTGATTTCAACATTATTTAATTCTCTTATCTTTTTCATCTCAAATGGGAGTTGATCGTCAATGCTGAGTTCTTCTTTTTATTTGTTGCACAAAAAAGGACGAATGATCTGTTGTATCTTTGTTTTTTGTCCATTTCAGACATGGAAACTTTGTAATTTCTAATTAATAGTTGTTGAGCTTGAAATTGAACATATTTTTACTCAATAGTATGTAGATCATCCTCTTCTGATTCTTAGTCTCATTGGCAAGGGAATACAAATTGCCATGAATCTCTCACAATATTTTATAGTTTTTTTGCTACTTTAATAGTTATACTTTATGAGTTAATTTTGCTAATTCTTTCATACACATTCACAATACTATCTTTCACTCGCTACGAAGCACAAACGAGTTATGAAATAACATAAAGATAAATCCCCCCAGCCCCTTTTCTCCAATCTCTTCTCTTAAATCCCAAATTTTCAATTTCTTTCTTCTTTTCAAACCAAACTACAACACCTCCAACCATTATCCATTTGAATGGTACCAAAGACAGTGACTTCTCCTCTAGATACTCCTTGGTCTTGTTTTAGCCTCCACACACTTTGTCCATTGCTAAGACATCAAATATGACACAAAAATTATGGCGAGTCGTTTGGGTATGATTTTTCCAAACTTGGCCTCTCCAGAGCAGCATGGCTTTGATAAGGAAAGATATATTGTAGACAATGTCTTCATCGCGCATGATTTGATGCATTATGTTCGTCATAAAAACAAGGCCGAGCAAAGTTCATGGCTCTCAAATTAGATATGGAGAAGGCATACGATCGTATTGAGTGGCTTTTTCTCTTCTCCATACTCCGAAAATTGGATTTTTCTCCATAATACGCCTCTGGGGGTGTATGTTATCAAAGTAACGTAACAAACAATCAATCCGAAGATTGATTGAACTCGAATCAAGAACAACGTGTTCTTAATACGAAATTGGGATAAAACGGAACCAACGGACAATTCCACACCTGGGGAAAGCTCGTATGGTATAGAAGGGTAGTTGCTCGACCACGATTGAAGAGACTATCCAATCGATACAAAGCTCAGCAAGTTGGGAATCCACAAAACCCAAAACAAGTCGCAACTTGCACATAACCAAACGGTTCTCAATTCGATTAATCAAAGTGTGAGTTTTACAACGTAAATAGAAGGCTATTTATAGCCAAGAAAACCTTATACAAACCTAAATGAATAAGGAAACAAATAAGGTAAAATTATATTCTAAAAAGGTTACAAAATTCAGCCACAAACACTCTTTCTTCAAGCACAAGTAAGCTGCCTTTTAGCTCAAGCAAACTGCCAGAAAACAGTTTTTGTACTAACTTCGTGCCTTTCTTTCGAGGCCTTCCAGATCTCCAATCCTTCATCCAATTCCTTCCCTTGGTATACAAACATACCTATTTTCATGTTTTGTAAGCCTTTGGACTTGAATCAGATCCAGGCTCTTCGAATTGAACTCCAAAGTAGGCTTCACAAAATAGGTTTCTGACTTAAACCAAATTCTGGCAGTTTTCAGCTTTCCAAATAGCAACTTTGGACGTCTAGAAAATGAACTTCTGGACTTCCTCTTGGGCTAACCAACATACCATCGTATAGAAAACCTTTTTACCTTCAAAACAAGCTATCAAACTCAAATTTTCATTGAGCCAATTGTGAGAACCAAGCCTCAAAAGTAGGCCACCTGAAACATTGAAAACACTTAACCAAAAATTAATGTTCTTCAGGCAGCTTGAGCTTGCTTCCATTTCAAGTAATTCCAACTTGTAGAGTAGCCTATTTGAGATCATATCAAACTTCCCCTCTTCAAAAA